AATAACATTTTACTACTTTCTAAATTCCTACCAGAACTGTGAAACCAATTCAGTTCTAGGAAGGGGACCCAGATTGTTTTGTGGGTTGTGCATCTGCAAAAGGATTATTACCTTAATCAACACATACAATTTCATCTGTGTGGCAGAGGAGCCAAAAAGAACCTGACATTTTTTGGATGGTAGTTGGAACAATCTGTTTTTATTTATGAAAAGATCTGGACTAACAGGAAAGACGTGAAGATCTACACATCACTCTCTAAAAGTCACATTTTAAAGCAAAAGAGATATATCCAACATCTTTGCATGGCATTCCTCAAAATATCACTTGAATGCAAAGGAAACTTGGTAACAGAAGTTTGCTAATAGTGAAAACCACTGATTTTTCCAACAGGGGAACGCCACCAAAGTTAATACATGTATATTCATCCTGTAGATAGCTGAGCCCAGCAAATAGTTTTTGCTCCCTGGTCTGCCCTGAGTTGCTCCTCAGGATTTTCCTATTGAATTGTGTTATTGCATCCTCCCCTTCCCTGCCAGTGGCACTGCTTGCGGGGAACCACTCCCTAAAGTGCAAGGTAAAAAGAACCAAGCTATCAAAGTCCTGCTGTTTAATCTATTAAAAGTAATGCAACTCATTTTGAAACACGTGGCTTATGAAGTACTTGCTCATACATGCAGCTGGGGGGCAAGCTGGAGTTGGTGGCCCCCTTCACCAGCACAGCTGGATGTGGAAGAGGACATCTGCCCATGATCTAGTTTAGGATGCTTTTCACAGCAGAACATCTGCCTATACCTGAGTCATTCTCAGCCTTTCTCATGGAATTAGATTTTAAAAGAAAAAGAGAACCACCATAGAGATGGCAGAGTATTTCAGAGATGCCAGTTTCCCAAGGAGGGACGTTTCAGAGAACAGAAACACTAAGAAAGTTGCAGTGTGCTTATACATGATCCAGTTACTTAAAACAAATTATCAGCAGAAAAAAAAAAAAGGGCAATATCCCAAGGCAACAGAAAGGAAATCAAGTGTATCAAAGCTGTTCCTGAACTCCCATTACCTACCCACTTGGCAACGCTGACTTTTAAAATTATGCTACACCATTCATTTTTACTCTCATGATGCAAGGGGAGAAGGAAGAAAGAACTCCCCCATCTTACCCCCCTCTTTTTATTAAAATATCTTAAAAACAGATCTGTATTGTTAATTCAAGGTTACTAATGTTAGTACTGTATAGATTTATAGATGAGGTATTCCTTTCTGTCTGAAGCACATGAGGTAATAAGTAGCTGGAATTGTCACAGTGATTTATTAACATATTCTCTAGGAGAAGCCCTGCACCTGCATCTGTGCAGACAGAACACCCACGAAGGCTGAACTCACCCTTACACAGCCCACAAGATCTTAAAAGGAAATGCTCCAAATTTAGACCTGCTCCAACAGGTGTCTTTTACTGTCTCACTTTGCATGACCATAAATATCAGAGGTGGAGCAAAAAGCTCGCTGTCCATTGTAATCATGCTTTGAAAACAAATACCTCTGCCCCCTCCAAAAGCAAAGGCAGTGGCTATGGAATTCTCATCATTTCCTCACTCCTTCATCCTGTCAAGGCCCAAGTCAGAGAGATGTCACTGGCAAAACCAGGCTCCAGGGATGAGCACATAGCTTTATTTTTTTCTCTTCAAAGGGCCCTAAGCTGGCGCTGAAACTTCCCCAAACTGTATTTCTTTCATTCTAGTATCTCATCTTGCAGCTATTTGCCAAAGTGAATGACATGCACAGGCTGTTCACGGCTTTTTATAAGCTCTCATTACCCAAATGGGGAACCATTTTCTTGAAAATGCTTTTGCCAGCAGCATTAGTCTCTCTAGGCACCACCAATAAATTTGTCTCCTGGCCCATCATGATGCACACCAAAACGTGCTTGGATAGATGTACTTGATACTGGTTTGCACTTGTTTACTGGAGGGAGCACACTACCTGTGGGACTTGTCATCAGGGTGATTAACAGCAGAGGGAGAAAAAAAAAAAAGACAATTTTAACAGCTGAATGGGAAGCTTTGCCAGATTTGCTTTGGCAAGCAAAGGAGCAAAATCCAGGCTCCTTTCTGTGTGTGGTGTAAGAAGGAGAGACATTCTCAAAACCAAAACGGCTATCCATGACTCACAAACCCCCAAACCAAATCAAAACAACAAATCTGGAAAAGAACTCCTAACCAAACTGAGAGAAAGAATAACAGGTTACACCAGGAACTTAGAAATCCTATTAAAATGTTTCATTCTGTAACACTTTTGATTATTACAAAAATGCCTGAGTCAAGAGCAAATAAATGTTTAATACTCAACAGGTACTCAGGAGAATGTGTGTTTTCCCTTGTCCCTCCCCACCAGCTGCTCTTTTATGGCAGGAAAGTGAAGAGCGTGAAATCCAATGATAGGAAGAAGGCAAAGGTCAGGAAAAAGGTTTTTCTTCAAGGATTTAAATTAGCGTTCTACAGCTTTGGATGTTTTGTCAACACAACTTCCCTCCTGTGAGGAGGGGAAGCCAAAGGTCCTTTGAAACATTTCTGTATGGGATCTAGATTTTTACCAGCAACAAGATTCCTAGCTTTAAAGAAAAGCCCATCTTCCCTCTTCCCGTTCCTTTCACCACTCCCTCCCTGTCCCTCCTTTCACCCCCATCCTTAAAAAGGGAGAGAAAAAGGAAAACAGAAAAAGAAAAGGATCTGAAGAGCAAAACAAGCACTGAAGGAGTTCTAGAGTTCATGTAACAAGACCACTATAGCCCTTCAAAAGGACCATTAAAAGCAAAACAAACAAAAGCAACACCCTCAAGATGCCTATTGTATTTTAGAGAGGAACAAATGAGTGTACTGGAAATTCTCCCATCCTGCCACAAAGTCTGTTATTTCATCAAAACAAAGTCCAGAGATCAAGAAAGGACCAACATGGTAGCTGAAAGTCAGTCACTTCAAGTGATCCATGAAGAAAACAAGATTGGGCTTGCTTTTTATTTCACCTCTCCTTGCTTTACTATCTTGCATTAAAATAAAGAGAAAAGACTTCAAAGATAGTTTTAAGCGTCGCTTTTGTTTCTCACATGAGAAAGTCAGGGCTTGAGCAGGTCTAGACAACACAGTGGTTAAAACATCATTAGCTGCCAACACTTTGTCTTCCTAGAGCTCCCACAGTTGTTGCTACGCTGAACTCCCTCATTTGAAAATATTTGACAATTTCAATGTACTGTTTTGCTTCCCTCAGAGCTTCTCCAACATGGCAGCAGTAAAGCAGCAAGAGCGCACATCCACTGCCGGCAGTTTCAGATGGCAGAGGCTCACCCACATGGATACTGGCCCAGTGCTTCTGCATAATGCTTCAGAGCATCTTTTTCATATTTTTTTCCCCTTTCTTTTTAACACTTAGCAGATCTTCTCTCTTTGTGCTTCTAGACTATTCTATCATCCGTGAGCTTTTCCTGGAGGGTATCTAACACTTTACATTAGCTTTCATAGCTGTGCATATGGAAATGTAAGAAAAACAGGGAAACATGCAGATTTTTATCCCATCTGTATATCACCAACACCACATTTACCAAATCCCAAACAGTTGTGCTCAAGAAGATCTGTTGAAGACAACATAACTGAACAGGTGTTCCTGAAGACAAAGTTTGGCCTGCAAGATAAAGCCTGATTAATTTAGCTATAGGGTAACAGGAATGAGAATCCTCTGGTTAGATGAACCTGTAAAATCAGAGGTCAACCAAGATCACACATGTTTCAGTAATTTCTAAGTCATTATGCCACAGACAACCCGCTAGTGATAGGAGAAAAGCCATAATGATAGCCCATCACTAACAGTGGATGAAATATTCCTCCCACAAAATAGATCCATTAGCATTTGTTTGCTCAATAACATAGAATGCAATGGTGCTGAATTTCCTACACTACACAGATCAGCTGCTGTGTATGTACAAGACGCTTGCCCGCAGCTTGGTCCCTGCCATGTCCAAGAAAACCGCGGAGAGAGCCAGTGGGAACACGCAGTCAACAGGGTTCACTCCTGACAGCTTTCCTTCTACAGTAATCCTTAAATGGGATGGGCAGAAGAAGTGTCACCTTTTTATGAGCACACAGCATCTCCCTCACATCTGGTAGTGGGATGTTCAAGGAAAGATTACTCCTAGCTGTGGCCTATAGCACACACCAGAGGCATTTTCACAGAAGAGATTTATCTGAGAGCAGACCCCAGATGTCCACATCCTTGACTTAAGATGGTCCACATGGATGAATTTCTCAGGTCTCAGATGGCTGCCCCACAGGTGTCTAATCTCCCAGAGGTGAAGGTCTGACTGTCAGCCTGGGACAGACTACAAAGGCTGGCTTCTCAGAGAGCCAGCAGAGCTTCCGCAGAACATGTCAGACAAGATGTGTCTGAGAAAACTAAAATCACTGTACAGAAGAGTGTAAAGAGAAGCAATCTTTCCCTCTTCACTAATGGATAGTAATTATACTGTGCAGGAAGCTCAGCTAGCGCAGTTTAATGGTGGATATAACATAGATTCTTTAATGAATCTTTTTGGGCCTGGAAAAACAGCTGAGGTTTTGTACCTTATATGCAGAAGAGCGACATGAAATCCTGAAAGCCTCTCTGAGATACTCTGTAAATCCATTTGGGACTCAGCCAACGAGAATAGCTTTTAATTTATGGACATAGGTGTACTGCTTCTGAATCTAAACTGTACCTGAACTATGGCAATACTGGCTTCATTTCAAGGAGAATTAACTTTTCACCCGTTCCTTTTCTTTCCCTGGAATTCTTCATGATAAAGGTATGAGACAAGCCTATCAACTGGTTATACCAACATAATGAATAATAGAATACTGCTCCCTGAATACTGCAAAGGCTTTTTTTCCCCTCATCCTTTGTCTTTAGCCATCACTCCTAGTCCACAGTTATATTCCCCCATCCCAAGTTCAGTTGCTATTACAAGGACTCATAAGCTTACTTCTGAAGGATGGATCTTTTAATGACAAGTTCTTCATCCAAGTCAGCTTCATTAGCCATGAAGAGCAATCTTTTGCCTGTGTCATCCACTCCAATGAAGTCGCGCTGCTCCACTGAAGTAGAAAATCAAACACAACCATTATACAGCCCTGTCTTAATGCAGGCTGGAAAAACAAATGGGACCACCACCCACCCCTAAAATATGAAATACCAGGTTTCAGACTAACCCAGCAAATCAATGAATTTGCAAGTTATCCTATTTATTAACTTCTTTCCAGCCAGAGTAGCATATACATATCATGACATCCAAAACACTGGCCCTGCAAGCTTTTTGCATCCCTTTTATGAAGATGCCAACTACAGGTCCTGACATGCAACGCTCCATCTTGAGCTATGCTTTCCTTCTCTGTCTTTAAAAAAAATTAATAAAAAATCCCTGCTACCTGAATTTACACAACAACAAACCCAAGGCAAACAGAGAGTTCTTAAAAACCCAGCTGCTTCTTCCTCATCATAAATCACTCCACATTAGAATTAGGTGGTCTGGAAAGGATTATGATTTCAGTTAAGACATAACTACTTTGCAACTGATCTCCTATTTCAGATAAATACTGATAGCAATAGAAACCCTAAACCATATACACAAACACACATAAAAGTATAGATTCTAAGACTCCTACTACTGATGTTTCTGGGTGGGTTAACTTGGTTTAAGTATCTATTTATAAAACTGCCAGACAAGAGAATACCTAACAGTCACATAGATAATTGTGGCAATTGCCATCTCCTGCAATCAGACTGTGCATCAACAGTGACTGTGGTCTACTGAAATGTAAAGCATTTGTTTTTGAACAGTTTTCCACAACATCTGGATACAGTGGTAGCAGCTTATTCTAACTTGTACAGAGTGAGCCATCACTCTGATGGCAACCATACAATGATCTTCACAGGAACACAGGCTGTACAAGAATGCCACTTCTCACAAAAACCTCTTTTCTCCCACTAAATACTATTGTTTTGGGCCAAACTGGCAGATATTCTGTCTCTTAAGTTCTAAACCTTTAATAACATTGGAGTAACAGCATGCTCTATAAATAGTTAATTCCCTAAGATCTTTTCTCAGCCAAATTATTTTTAACCAGTTGAGCCCCATCCCTTATTTTACTTTTACCTGTTCCTCCAGAGTTACCATAGCAATAAACACTATCAAAATACAGTCAAATCTACACAGCTGTTTAAACTTCTCCTATTGGCAGTCTTTGATCCAAGTGATCGCATACACTTTCCAGAAATCCCATCCCGTCTCAGAAATTAATCATATAGCCATGTACAAAAATAGGCCTGAACATGCAACACTATGACAAGTTAAGCACAACTAGAATAAAGCTCACTTGCTGTAAAAACCCAAAAATAAGTCTTGAAAGCAGTGCAGATTCTCATGCTGAGGAGGGTGATGAAGTTTGAGAGTAGGGGCCAATCAGCCATCACCACTGCCACCTAACTGGGGTGTCCTGACAGGCTAAAAACACGACAGTGCCCAATTTTCCCCGTCAAAGTATACCAAAACTTCTCCCAGAGTTCTGGTTGTGGCTGCCCATCTCCTGACTGTTCGTACAGTAATGTAGCATCCTACACTGCTATAGGGAAGCTCTATGCAATAAGAAAAAGGGAAGAAGTCTTGATGAAAACAGGACCAGGTACATGACTGCCACCAAACAGGTTTCCCTTGCTCATGTGAATAAGTAAGAAACAGATAGCAAAACCATGTGAGTGTGCTATATTTTTCTGTAGTGTTCAGTTTTTTCTCAGTACACTGGCAGTAAATAGCATTACTTTTGTAATTTAGGAAAGACAAAACTTATTACTAAAATCAACTACCCTGAGATACAACTGTGCTGTTTCAAATCACAGTGACATTACTTAGTGAGGAAAAAAGTAGATGGAAGAATGAATAAATAACTAGTTTACAAAATCCCTGCAAGGAAAGTATAAGAAAAATGTTAAAGCTGCAGCAATGGTAACGAAAAAATCTTTTAAAGTATAAAAATGGAATGCAGGATATGTTTTGCCTCCTCAAAATAGATAAATAAGGATTTGACATAGCTATTGCAATTTATTAGTTACCTTAGAAATTACATCCCCAACAATTTTAGGGGCTCTAATGACCTAAAGAAATCATGACATCACAAGAGAATGGAAGTCGAGCAAGTCAGTGATGAGAAATAATTTTCAGTCACATTTTCTAAAATGTTTTTAATCAAACATAATTAATTGACACTTGGGAAAAAGACACCTTTGTTAATGAGTCACTATCCCCACCCTTTCAATTAAAGGGAGAGAATTCACACGATGCAGCCTGCAAGACCACCAAGAGGTCTTCTGGCAAACACAGGGAATACCAGTGATGACATGCCTGCTGCTTTCAAGACAAGAAAAACAAGCAGGAAAGAGTCACCATTTTTTCTGCCTTTCTTTATATACAGAAAGGTTCAGACACCCTTTCCCCACTCAATCCCTTGCAGGTCATCTTTAAGCACATGGCTCCATTCTGGGTGTCCAAATTCCTGATGCTTTCTGTTTATTTGGGTTACTACCATTCACTAGCAGTCTGCCTTTTTTCTTTTTTATTTATTTTATTGCCATTCCTCTTATTGATCAATTAAAAAAGCCAATGAGGTTATTTTTTTCAGTATATGAGCCCCTGAATATAAAAGCCAACGAACTTCACTCTGTAATTTGCACCTGAGTTATGTCAAGCATTTCAAGAAACCATTAGTATGAATTTATAGCTACTTAACACTGTGATCCATGCTCATTTAAAAACTGTTCCCTATATTAAAGTTCTTGAACATTCAGCAATATCCCAAAAGCAAGAACTTTGTAGTGGATTCCACAATGTAAGCAAAATGTCTTTTTGCTCCTTCTCAAAAAAATGAAGGAATTTGTAGGAACAGTGAATCAATAAAGCAAGCTACAAATATATCCAGTGGCTTGTCAGGACTAGGGATCTATCTTCTAATATTAACATTGAACAGAACAGTGGAAGTACATAGAAACACGAATGTGCCACAATTTAGAGCTAATAGTACCACATACTATGAAAAGCTGCCTAATGCGTTCATATTAATATCTTGGCTTCAGCTGCTTATAAGCTTCATCAAATTTTAACTGTTTGGGATGAAATTTCCAACACCAGGTGCCTGCCTTAAGAGGAACATTTGGAAAACTTCAGCGAAAACAGTTCAGCTACTTCTAAGGTTAAAGAAAAAAACCCAACATGTTTAGCCTAAGCTTAATTGCTTAAGTGGCCCTTCACTGGAATAGCTATGGTATTCCAGTTCTTCATTTAAGGTCTTCTGTACCATCAGGTGGTACAAGCAAAGCACAAAAGCCATGAGGCTCCACGGCCACACTGTGACGACTGCTCCAGGGGAAAGAACTTGATCTGTTGTGGTTTTGCAACTTGTTTTTATAAGGAAATGAAACTAATAAGCTCAGAAGGATAAAAGGAAAAAAAGCATAAAAACAAGGACTCTGCAAGATGGGCTGGAAGCGAGAGAAAGCAGTCCCTGAGAACTGGTGGAAATTGGGGCTGTCCATGAAAAGACCACAGAGAAAGGAATCAGAAGAGAAGAAAAAAGGTGGCTGTGGGCAGATGAATGAAGCAGGTTGAAATGGTAAGTCAGAAGTGGAACAGGGGATGAGAATGGTAGTGAAAGTGTAATATATGAGAAAGAGAGGCTGGACTCTCAACAAGGATCCTCAAAGAAGGAGACTAAGCAAAGAGAACAAGAATGGAGGCTGGTAGTGACAAGAAGCCAGCATGGGAAAAGATGTAGGGATGAGCTAGGACTATGCCAACAGCAATAGGATACGTCCAGTCAAGTAGGAATGAAAGGCAGGATGGTCTGGTGCTCCCTCAAATGTACCACCTCTCACCAGAACCTGGAGAACCACCTAAAATTCCTGTCTCAGCACTCCCCTACTTTTAGTAAATGACTGGAAAAGGTCTGGAAAGGTTCATATCTCATCTAAGGCAGCTCACAGAAAAAAACTTACTAGTGCTATCCATGACAGCTTGAGTAGTTTTGAGCGTGAAACCTTAGCATCAGGCCCCACAGAAAAACACTGGTGGTGTCAAAACACTTCAACAGAATGGAATTGTAATGCTTTCAAGTTTGGTATTCTACAAATCTGAGAAATCACACATAAATTTTAACAAGTCATGTAGTAAGAGTTATGCTATGAAGTCAAGCACACAGACATGAAAAAACCTGAGAAAATTAAAAATGCATGTGCAACCTGATGTGTTTACATTTGCAAAGTCTTCACATGATATTGTTTAACCTGATAGATCTCCTTGCCCTCAGCTTATGTGCTCAGAGCTCAGGTACTGGGCAACTCTATGATATTTAACCACGGATCCATTAGTTCATAACTCCTGAATGCTCAGCTGTGGCTGTAGTAGTGCTCTTGACAATGTTTATGTGCCTTTAGCATTAGATTGTCTGTTCAAAACCGGGGAGGTTTAGAGCTGTTTGAGAGTCCAAGTCCTAAAAGCTTTCAGCCCTACTAACCTTACACTTTGCTCCAGAAAAGTCTTCTCATGCATAGTCTAAGCAGCTTTCTTTTAAAAACACATTTCCTCCTATTTCAGACACACACATAGTCCAACAGTTGGCTTGCACTTCACTCCTCTCAAACAGTTTGAAGCTTCACTTTCTTATTTGTATTACTGTAATACCTCTGAGCTTTAATCATAGACCAGGACCCACTAAGCTGGCAATAATCAAGCCTCAGTGATTCAACAGATATCATTAAAAGAAAATGAGAGGTATGGTATTGGAACAACTGTATGGTATTTAGGACTTTTAGCATAAGTAAAAGAGGGATAATAGCCCTGCCCTGCCTTACAGCAGTGTTGTGAGAATAGATACATTAAAGATTACAAGGCACTAACTAAGATATTATGGTAAAAGGGACAAGATAAGCATCTAACCAAGACCTTGAAATCAGTGGGAGTTTTGCCTAGCAAAAGGCTTCTGGATGTGATCTCAGAAGAGTAATTCAGTACATACCATGAGACAAGAGATTTCTAGAAGTATTTGCTAGCCATCTAACGCTGGTCCCTACAGCCAGAGGTAAATTCCCACCTATTACCTGTCTGATGCTTAGCGCTCTTGAAAAACCTAACAGTTCTGATGTTCATATGTAACAAAAATTTAGAGTTTGATCCAAAACTCACTGAAGTCATCTGGAGCTTTTCCCTTAACTCTTGTGAGCTTTGGATCACAGCCTGCAAGATTACAAGAGTCTAATGCTTAATTCTAAGCTGGAAAAACCCAAGTCACACCCCCACCAGGGAATCTGAGGAAAAATAGGGTATCTGTACCTTTTTTATTTCTTTTGCTCTGAGATTGATAACTAATCATATGTACCAATGCTTTCTCTATAATGTATTAATAAATAAAGGTATTCCTATCTACATACCTGGCTTTTTTTTCCCTTTCTGTCCTGGTACCACTTCTGTGGGTTCATGAGTTTTCTTCATCAACATGGACAGAGTAGCATCATGAGTCCGAAAGAGATCCACGACTTTATATAAATCAACATCTGTGATCAGATCACAGCTCAGCACCAAGACATCAGTCTGTCAAAAAAGAAAAACAAAACAAACCAAATCCTTCAGATACAAGTGACCACATATGCATTAGCATCTGAGGACTCAACAACAAATACACCCATAACTGTTCTTTTATTTACCTTTAAAAACACAAGATCTGCCATACTTTCCCAAAAATATTGAATCCTGCCATTACTGAATTAGTTACTTGGTTAATGCTTATCCAGCTCTGGACCATAAAGAATATGTGACCATCTAAACTGCCATCATCAGCTCCAAAAGGAAGGGACTGGGACACAGAAGCCATGGCTTTCAAGACTGCCATGAAATTCTACAGTATTTACAGCAGCTACTTTTAGTTACATAATGATGTAGAAAAGAAATCTTTCTGAAGGAATCTTTTTTAGCTGACTTTGCATCTGGCTACAAACCACTGGAAAAGATATTTAAACTATGTTATTTTATCGAGGGAAAAAAAGCAAAGACTATCTAGGATGTAATTGCACTGCCATGGTGGCCTCAGTCTAGAAATACATTTCCTAAAACCAGCAATACCCCTATAAAAAAAATGAAGAGGAAGTTAGGTCCTATTTAATAACAGGCTTGTATTTAATTTTGATCTCAAAGGATCCCAAAGTGCCTTATGAAGTATTTAAGAGAACTGCTGCCTATATCACAGAAACATTGTCACACATTGAGCAAGACATAGCAACTTCATTAACCAAGCACACCACGATATACTCCAACTAAAAACACTTACCGAGAAACAATTTTCTGTATTTCACGTGGGTTGTGGAATATACTGCCAAAAATCTACTACTTGAGCAATTATCTTCATTTAAACTAATCCTAACATAATATTTGTGCAGCATGGCCTACAGAAAAGTAGCAAGTTTCCACTTTATTTTTTATTAATGACCAACCTTCTAAATATGTCTCAAGAAGACAGTGTTTCTTTCTTGACATTTACCATTTTCATTTTCTGTGCTACCATTTACTATGGTCAGCCTCCTGCACAGTGTGGCATGGCTTCCTACTTTTGTCTTTTAAACGGATACTATTTGATAAGAAGGGCAATAAAAAGTAGTAGGTAAAACCCAAGTTAACTCATGGAGGATTAGAAACTCTACTTTTATTCTTTAAAACTATCTTGGTTTAAAACATAGTAGTTCAGCACTGACCTTTTATGAGAGAAGTTTATTATGGAAAGGTTTGCATTACAGACTTCATCTAATACTAGGAGATTCAACATTGGAGGTGAGACTGAGGTCTGGTATTTATGTTATTTGACAGGTTCTCCTACAAATACTGGGCAGTTTCATGTATTTACCAATAAGTCATCGGAATTTATCATGTCACAAACTGTTAGAGATGCTGATTTGGCATGCTGTGCAAAAGGTCAAGCTCTGAGGATTTTACATTCAAAACCTGACTTGCAGCACCCTTTCTAGCATATTTTCAATATGTGTATTTTATATTATGGTTTTGCCAAGAAGAAGTGCTTTAATTATCCCTTCTCTAAAACAACACGCACACACATTGGAAAAAAAACCCAACCCACTCAACACAACAACCCACAGCACTGAAGCAGCCCTGCTCCAACATTCCAATGTGTACAAAGAAACTAAGAAAAAAATTCAACTTGGTAAGGAAGTAAATCTCCTGCTTCCTAACTGTAAGTAGTGAAGAAACACCTATTAAATATCCTGCAAATTCCTGACAAATTTTTCAGATATTCTGTTTCTACAAAAGCACAAATGAGTTACAATATTTGCAGAAAGACCAAAAGGTCTCCATAACCCATATAAAACAACCTGTACTTTTCAAACTCCGTTTGTAGAAGGAAGAGATCACCAGTTTCAGACCTAAATAGATTCATTCACTCCAGTGGTGAAAATAAGAAACAATAAAAAGAGAGACACAGACACACCAATGGACTTATCTTAAGGAACAAGTATTTGGACTTGTAAAACAAACCTTGTAATTATTTCACATTTTACTAAATGCTTTAATCTGTCACTATAGCAAAAACCCAACAAGCGTTTCACAGTCGTGGACAGGCTCCTGGGTTTTTTCTTCTCACTATAGGACAAGCTTTTTGCAAAAACTGAATGCAAGACCCCTGAGGAGCATACGGGAACAGAACCACCAAATGTCTGGTTGCCATCTGTTCTACCCATTTACTCTCCCAATATGTAAATAAACGTCAGTGAGCGCAGGGACCAGTGAAACACACAGTTGCTCTGTAAAGCCCACATTTCTGCCTCTCCTCCTGATGAGCAGAGCAGTGGCCTCAGAAGCACGCTGAGAATACACCATGAAAGGCTCTTTTGGGACTCGACAGCCTCCTCTTTGAAACACCACCCCCCTCATAAATAAAGCCCTCACTGTCTAATGGATGCACTTTTTTTCCAGTGTACAACTCCTGAACGAATAAACTAATGGCTGAATGAAAAAATAAACTATCCTAGAACCCTAGCAGAAGTGTGTGTTTTTCTTTACGTTTTTAGGGTGGGTGTAGAAGAAAGAAAATAAATGGTAGAGCTTGTGGGGTTTTTTACATATATACATGCCAAATGAATACAGTGCACCCTTCCCAGTGAGACACTGATACAAAGAAGAGAAGTACGTACTTACTACATGCACTCATGTGCTAACAAGGGGTATGTGAACATACTTGACTTCATGAATTATGCAAACACCTAAGTACACACACATACATCTCTTAATGAAATACATGTAACAATGATTACATCAACCCCAAACTATTATACAGCACACGATAAGAATCAACATGAACTGATTAAAAAAACCCAGCAAGCACACACCCCAAGCAGAACCACTGCAAAAGAAGAAAAATGCATGCACAGATGCACTCTCGTTTACCATTACGACCATGGGAAGGACAAGTCCTCCTGAACTCAAGGAGGACCAGCCAATGGATGGGGCATGAAACAAATGCTTGGAATTTCTAACATTCTCCGGCTCTGCCAAACTTGATAGGGCATTTTGTTTACTACTTTCACGACACAGAGGAGCCCTCATCACAGACTGGGGCTCTACCGTGGAAGCTGCTACACAGGACAAGGCGAAAATACCATCAAGTATAACAAAAGAGAACAGCAAATGACTTTGGGTTGGGGAACACAAGAAGACACTGCAGTGCTGTACAGGTACAGGGACAGCAGCTTGCACTTGCTGGTAGCACACCTCTTTTTTTTTTTTTTTTTTTTTTTTACGAGCATCACAAGAGCCACAGAAAAGACAAGGCAAATAAGACACTCCTTGAAAGAGTCACCTGCACCTCAGGAATCCCATTTAACCTCTGACCTGCAATTTAAGCACTCAAGGTCAGAATTCAGACTTAGCTGCTGATCAGCTCCAAAACGAGGTCCTGCAGAGATCATCCCACTTACAGTCTGCATTTCAAGATGTTTCTCTGTCCTTACTGATCATGGATGAAGCCCTGGGTTGCCAGTCTAGCCATTGCTGAACAGTGATGTTCAGTCAAAGTAAAGTTCGGAAACATGACACTGAAGCCTCCAAATCTCCACTCTCCCATTTTAACAGTGGCTAACAGCATTTCACCATCAAAAGTTTCCAAACTGTGACATGCTCATATATTATCAGATAAGTTGCATACTCAATCTGCATAAACACAACAGTAACATAAAACATCAAGAGATTTATACAAAATAGAGGAAAAAAAAACAACTGTAAAGAAAAACCACTCAAAACCAACATGTCAACAATTATATTAAATCCAGCACAATATGGAAAATCTACACAAAAACAAGACCAAAAAGCAGAATGTTTCAAGAACTCAGTTCAAGACAACTGATTTAAAAATAGAAAACATGTTTTCAATGGAACTAATTCATACCACAGATCAAAAGATGGATGCAATTATATGCTGTAATATACCAGCATAAATAAAAAGCCTTCGACTTTCTCACACCCTGCATACAAAGGCAACGTTAGAAACTCTTTTATATTCAGCAATAATTGCTGGATCCCTTCTGTTCAAACAGGAGATATCAAGGTTACCACAGATAGCTGGCAGCAAATAATGAATTTTTAGTAGCGTTCACTATGCTTTTTCTATCAAGTACAGACAAGGGCAGGACCCTGTATCCTAAACTGCTGATGGCCTCAAAAACTGCAGACTAGAAAATGAGAAGACATGTGCTGCAAGGAAATCTCTAATTTGAATGAAATCAGCCCCAAGAGAAAGGGGAAAACAAATGTCAGATTGCATTATAAGCAGAAAAGAAGCAAAATATCCATGAGCAGTAGAACCAGCTCCTAACAGAACCGAAGAGAGACAAAATCTTGAAGTTAAATGCTAGAAGTTTCCAATCGCAGAGTATTACAGCTGAAACTTTGACAGGAAAAGAAAAGAAAAAAATCCAGGTATTAGATACTCTGTTCCTACACCAGCCTAAGCTACACACATGCACAAACGGAACTTTGCATCACTTCCTGCAGTGTCACCATACAACACGGGAGAGAGGAACAAGTTGTAATTACTGCTGGAATTAAGACTGAGTTTTATACACAATAGCCTGGAACTTCAACCACATGTTGCATTAACAGTGGGGTTTGTGTGCAATGCTTTTATTATTCTGAAGAGTGGAAAGGGAAAGAACAGTCTGGCTGTGGGCAAGCGTTTTGATTGCTTATGAGCATGCTCCTGGCAAATCCAAAGATACCTCCCAGCAATTGCATTACTCACCACTCTTCAGATCAGAGACTTACATCCAAGGCTTTAGAGAATCCCTTTTTATCTTAGTCTCCATTAAGAGTCCTCCAATTTCCACACCTGTGACCTCTTTGAAGCTCTATGGCTGCTGCTGTAACTGGAGCAGGGAACCTCATTTAATTTTTGATGTCTGTAGGATCTTGTTAGCTACGAACTGAAATGGCCGCCTTTGGCTGGGAATTCCCACTCTGCTTTTGTGATGTCCTTGATAGCAAGATTCAGAAGAAAATAATGATTTAGTACTTTGTTAGCAGACATGAAGCAT